TGCAAGTGCTCAGTGCTTTGAAAGGCAGAGGGAGGGAGAGCGAGAGAGATATTGAAAGAATAAGAGGGAGAAATGTACTTTTATCTCTGCACAGCGATATAGATGCGGCCCACTTTGCGAATTGACTTCGAAGGCCACAGTTCTGCAGTATTTCTGCACCCCTCACTTTGTGAATATACAGCTGAAGTCTGATTCTGCAAGGATGCTTCGTGATTTACGACGCGGAGGGATGTGTTCCCATCTGGGACTCCAGCCACTGCCGGACAGGAGATTTACGGGTGCAATGACACCACTGATTACTTTCGGACGCTGAGGAGAAATGGACACAGTTTGTTTTTCACCCCTTTCCATCTTTAAGACCTGGGCTGAGGATGGTTGAGTCCCTGGGCTTAGATTTGGGTCTTTGTCCCGTAGCAGAGGCACCAGGGTTCGCTTATGGACACACACAGTCTAATTTGGACGAGCTCAAGTCGATAAATAACATTCACAGACTGATGGGAAACCCATACTGTATCTCCGTCGACGAGAAATGCAGAGACTTTGTCATGACCCCAGAAACCACACTTGCGCTAGGAGCCGCTTGACTCCATCCCTCTCGTTTTGACAAATTTGTGAGTCTTCCTGTGCGTTCCGAAGAGGCCAAACCGTGGACATCGAAAGTTCAGCCAAACCCAATAGAGTCTGAAAGCAAATGCTAGGGTTCAACTGACCTCACACTGGACTAAATGGCTTGATAGCTTTTATTATATGACTTTTGACAAATGAAATGCCTTCTTTTTCATTTACCAACAACAAGAACGTCAAATCCATTAAGCAAGAAAAATGCAAAATGAAAGACAACGCCGCCTAACACTCCAACTCAGTCAATAAATCAGGCAGAAACAATAAGCGGAAAACATAAATGCAGACTGGATTGAAGTCATTTTTCTTCACATGGAAATTCTCAAGACATTTTCAATTTCATGCACAGCCCAGAAACCATACTAAAGACATTTGTGTAATATAAGCAAGGAGAAACTCTTTTGATGATCGCGACAGGTCTGCGTTCCACCCAGCCTTACGCAAACAATGTGCCTGCCTGTCTGTCTGCCTGCCATGCATCCTCAAAGGGACATGAAGTGTCTCATATACATTTGACACAAAGAACGGGTTATGTGACATAAACCAGATGGACTCTTCAGTAGGACCCGACATTGTGGTTTCTCAAAGACCACAGGCTTACTTGATCGCTCCACCCAGGGCCTGCTCACTGGCAACTGGGAGGCGACTCACTTTCATTCGTCTTCTCACAACTTTGGGTGAAAAGCTTTTGGGAAGCTTTGTAAGATTGATGATCCATGGCCAATTACTGCCTTAGCCCCTCAGTCTCACAAAGAAAGCATGAGCTCGGACGTAAACACATGGACAAAGACGCAGGGGCTGGGAATACCTGTGTCTCGACAATATGGAAGTGTTCTTGCTAAACGAATCTGTCTGGACTGGAGTATCATCACTCTCACATAAAATCTAAAAATTCTTCAAAACATACAAGGATACTTCATATGAAACTTGTTTGTGATGCCATGTTTGCTGTGGCCTGTGCATGCATGCGTTGATCAGTATTTTGATTTGATTTGAGAGTGAATTAGGGCTTAAATTTCTGTTTTCCAGTCATGATGGATTCATTTCACGCAACCTTTACAGTGCTTTTCAAACGTTTGGGGTCAATAAGATTTTGTTTGTTTTTTTTTCAAGAAAACTATTACTTTATTCAGAAAGGATGCATTAAAGTTGCATTACGCAACATTTCATTTTAAAAATACCCATTTTTCTAACCCATACATGCTTAAACAATCGCCTGATGGGCTGAATGAGCCCTTCTCTGATCACTGCGATTGCCTCTATAATCCTGTACAGTAAAATAAATGAGAGGGATACGGGCTTGAATTTGAGACTGGGCGGGACGTCATGCGTGTTCACGCTCGCCTGGCTATGTCTGGCAGGTTTGTGTATTCGCTGCCATTCTCCGTATCAGCAAGACAACTTGAGAGACAAAACTTTAGTCAACCTTCGATAAAAGTAGAAGATGGATTCAAAGAGACCGGCTTGTAGTTCATTCCAAAGCCCAACGCAAACTTCACGTAAGACAAAGAAAATTAAACTTTTGTCTAGTGCCAGGCGTCGGAATAAGACGAGAGTCAACATCGGGAAGGCTTTTAACAAATGGAGAGATCTCCAGTCTGCTCTAGGGCTCAAACGGGTCCTATACAAAGTAATAACTCATATTGTTCATGAACGTGTTTCCATAATAATGCAATCATAGGTGGATACAGTAAAAACATAAAACAGTTCAACATGGAGATAGATGGAAACAAAAACCACCCCCTTTTCCTCCTCACACGCACATAAGTGTGTAATTTACTCAAATGCCTTTTCTTCCATATATTTACAATGACTTGCAGATTTATAACTTTATTACCTCTGAAGACATTATGACTGTAACAAAAGATTTGTGCGGCTGATGTTCCTTTGCGTGTGGTCCATGAGTGCGCACACCTCTGGTTGCAGTTTCACTTGTCACCAGAGGGGGCGTAGTTCTGCAAAGACTCAGATACTTGTGCTGTGCACCTTTAAATTGATCAACAGTAACAGTAAAGACATTTATAATCATGGTTTCCACAAAAAATAAAAAATAAAATATTAAGCAGCACAACTTTTGAACTGTTGAATGATTTCTGAAAGATGCGTCACTGAATACTGGAGTATTGGCTGCTGACAATTCCTCTTTATCACAGGAATATTACATTAAAATTGAAAACATTTATTTAAAATTGTGATATCACTTCTCAATATTACAGTTTTGTATTTTAACAAACGCAGCCTCGACGAGCAGATGTTCAAAAACATAAAAAAATCTTGCCGACCCCAAACTTTTGTGTGCTTTTTTTTGGATCTTAAAAGTTTTGGGCCTCGTTTTTGGGTGAACTATCCCTTTAACACTCCTTTGTTTTATCTATAGATGAGCCTTCAAGAATATCTCTTAAAATAATCTCATTCCACAGCCTAATCCAGGTATTTCTGGATGGTGCCATCCCGAGTGAAGAAAGGAGGGGCCGGTGCATCTGACACCCCGTGGTTGACGAGCACCAGGGCGCCAGGCAAAAGCTTGTTAGACAAACTCTGACAACAAGACGCTGCCCTTGAAAATCAATTATAAACATAGGAGCTTCCCTGCATCTGTTTCTGCTCGCAGTTTTGTGGGGCTGTCTGTCTTGGATTTCGGTTTTATCCTCCCTCTCTTTGGGCAGCTTCCACTGTGGTTCAAACGGCCATCCCTGAAGGATTACTGCGAGTTTCTAAACCCACAGGGACAGAGGGTGTAAATCATGAACGGGTGAGCTAGAGTGATGACAGGTCATGGCATTCACTGCTTATTGGGATGAGCAGTTTATGGGAGCAGTTGGGGTGTTTTTCATTGCATCTGCTTTGCCTGGCCTCCTGTTCCCAACAAGTAAACAATCATAAAAAATGACTTTGACTGGTTAAAAAGGGGTGCAGACACGTTTGCGCAGAGGACTTATGGGTTCCCACTCTTTAAGGTCCTCTAATGGCCCTTTAGGGCTCAACTTACACAACCTGGGGCCCGTGGTTACTCTCAATTGTTTCAGCATGTCACCATTCCATTGCACCAATAAATATCAAGTCCTGTGCTGATATTAACAAAAAATTAGTGAGTTTGGTTCAAAGATTCACAAATTAAATTTTAAAGTAACCCAGAGATTTAATCCTGCATCATTCTACTTTATTTCTACAGTAATTTTTCACAGATTGATTAAAAATGGATCTACCATCTGTCTTCCAAACCCATATGACTATTTTTAGGAACGAAATGAATAATGTAAGTTGTGTTCATTTAGATATGGTGCTTTAAGGTGTATCACGGCAAGTCTGAAGTCAATGACATCAAATGTTTTCTTGTGCCTTGTCATGGAGGTCAGACTTGGTGTGACCAATCTTGATGTGCTATATTTGTGTGATAACTTTTGTATGTTGTTTAGACTTTTTTTTATGGCATTATGCAGCATTGGTGTTAACTAAATCCAACATTTATTAAAAAAGTTTTTGTTAATTTAAATTAAGCTGAAATAAAATAAAGATATTAAAAACAAAATGAAACTTTGAAAACTTAACTGAAAAGTAAAGTGAAATAAAAAATACTAATGGATACATTTTAAACAATATTTATACAGTATATAGGACATATTAAATTAAATAAAAAAACATAATAATAAAGGTTATGCTCATTCAAAATATAAACTAAAAATTAAATGAAAGGTCAAACTATTAATCTATATAAATGTTATAAATATAAAGTATATGACAATAATAGTATATTAAATATTCACTCTAAAAAAATGCTGGGTTGTTTTAATCCAATTTTGGGTAAAATATGGACAAACCCAGCCATTGGGTTAAATTTTTAAATTACATTTTGAACCCAATGGCTTTGTTTGTCCATATTTTACCTAAAATTGGGTTAAAACAACCCAGCATTTTTTAGAGTGTTGTAATACTAAAATAACACTGGTATTATGATGCATTTTATGCATTTTTTTTTTTTTACTTTTATTTTAATTGTATGGAAAGAATGCCTTTTTTTTTGAGAATGCCAAAGAATGCACTATAAAAGCATAAGTGTTGGGACAAAATAATTACAAATTTAATACCGTAATTATATAAAAGTATATAAAATAGTTTATTTGCAGGGACAATACAACAATTTTTTCAACAAAAGATGTGTATCTCAGGTTCCTATAAAGCTTAATTTCCAAGTCATGCTGTGAAATTGCAAATAGTAGAAGGCATATTTCCACTTCCAACATGGACACAAGGATTTTTTTTTTTACATCATGTTGCATCTATTCCAATGCATGAACTCGACAGAAACCTGCCAATATATTTCAATCACAGACCCTTTGTTCATCTCATCTGTCTTCTTTTCTTTCTCCTTGTCTTGAAAGAAAACAGTCTACCTCAAGATGCGACATTCTACCATGATAAAAGACCACCACAGTGGATGAGACCTCTGTTTGTGCGTCCTGAAAAGCGCCGTGTGTTAAGCAGATCCATCCAATCAGGCTGCATTGTTGTGAAGCCCTTCAGACCATCTGCTCTCAGGTTGGTCAATGCAGAAAACCTTGTGGTGAGCAGGATGTGCAGGCATGTCTAGCTTTATGACCTCTCCATATCTTTAGTCTTTACCCCGTGGAGCATCTAATCTAATTATCACACACCTCTATCTGACAATAGTCATTGTAGCTGTCTATTCTGAAGGCTGAGGGCAGCACTTAGAAGAAGTCTAAAAGAACAAAGGGTGTAAGCATACTTGATTAGCATCCTTGGTTACAAATGGCACTTGAGGACACAGTGAGAATCATTACCACATGTTTACCATACTTGTACGGTCTCCTTGTGAAGGCAATTCACAGTCAGCTCTGGTTTAACGCATAAGCAAAAAACACATTTTACATAAAATTCCAGTCTCTTTTGATAAATGATGAATATTTCTTGCTGATAATATGCAAGTGTCCCATCAGATTTGACACTATGAACATCTATTATAATAAACAAACAATTTCCTGATCTTATTTTCTCATCCTCATTTTTTCATTTAATGCAGTCAACAAGCACATATTATGTTAATCTTGGGGAATCAGATTACATGAATTGCTACAAATCGTGGAGCATGATAATAATGAACACTGCTGAATGACTTTTGTGTGTGTGTGTGTGTGTGTGTGTGTATATATACATATTGTGGCTGCCTGGTTAAAAAAAGATCCTTAACATTACAAAAGAAAAATCCAGTTGATAACTATTATAAAATATCAAAGATTTCTGATTGGCTGTGAAACTTTTTTTCATGACACTGGTTTGAATATTAGTTCAAGATGTACACATGTAAAAGATCTAAATCACATTTAAAATAGACTTTACTATTGAAAAATGCTCCAGGCTCTTACAGTCTTTTCATACACACAACCTACCAAAGCATGCATCTCCAATCAAACCAGTCTCAAAAAGTTCACAGGGTCAAAGCTGCAATCCCGTCTTTGTACAAGTCCTGTCTGTGGGAGGTGACTAGAGCTCGTGATCTGTGGCTGCTAGAACATTCCGCTAGGCATTCTGCATCTAGATAGGGGATGAGATTAGATCATGTAATCTGCTAGAGGATGGGAGGGCTGGCCAGGAAGCGGCCATAATGAATGAGATGAATCAAGGAAATGGGTTTGGATGCAGGGTTTCAACCATCAGGCCTTTAATACTGGAGGAAGATATCCAAGATAATCAAGGAACGTCTGAGTGTATTTACTGATAAAGTCGAAATTGATCTTCTTAGTTGATCTTTAATAGACATTATGAACAGTATCTCTGTTGCTTCTACAAAGGATGCTGAAACAACTCTGATATTGTATTGTTATTGGGGAATTATGAATCACACATGAGACGTGTAATAAGATAGAAGCCCATTGCAGTTCTGGCACGAGTGTAATCACAAACATAAATAATCGAGCAGGCGCAGAGGCTGTGTGGAGGACAGGCAAAGGAAGAAAGACACCGACCCTGAATTAGAGGGCCATTTGGAGGTAAACAAACCCCATTTATGCCACAGATTTAATGATAAACTTGATTAAAATTATTTACATTATATATTATCAGGTGGCAGAGATTTCAGAATTGGGCTCTGCAGTGTGCAATGCTATATATATATATATATATATATATATATAAAGGAGACCTGATCTTATTGTAACACATTTACTTCAGAGAATATGTTCCGGGCTAAACTTTTTTTTAAGCTAATTCAAAGGTAGCCTATATTGTTAAGGCTATACTGCACAGCTTAACTTTCTCTCGTTATTGCCCAAAAATAATAATAGTATAGGCCGAAGTAAATTAATAATACAGGGCAGAATAATTCCCACACTGTTGTGATTTACGCAGCTAAAACCATATTTAAGCATTAATTTATGTGTTTAACTTCATTGGAGTTATTTTCATTATTAATAACCGTTCAAACCGTTCAAAGTTTTCTAGGATAGTCAAAAGCTTGTAACAGTAGCTTACACTCAACTGCACCTGTCTATGAACTGTACTCTGCTCAGTGCGCGTGCTCATGCTTTACTATAGCAGGACATACGTCAGAGGAAACACTTCGCTCCCGTAAGCGAGGTCAAGATGGCGCGCTGCATCATGTGAAGGGGACTCAAGCGGTAGCCGGTCGTTCGCCTGAAGAACATGTACAAAACACCATGCAGTAGACTGACGGGAGTGTGGAAATGCCTTCCATGTGGTATTAATAACTATGCTATGTTAATGAATCATATGTGGTCTTTTGTTTTTGCGGGTGGACGTTTTATAAGAATGCTACTAGCCGGTTAGCCTAGCGACTAAGTAACGTTACCACTGCAGCAGCATGACCTTAAAATATCAACACAGTTTACATGATATGAACCCGGTTTTTAAGGAATTCGGTTAATTACTTGCGCTGACATACAAGCAGAAGTGCTTTTCTGCTCACATTTTGCTTACGGCTAATCATCATTTGACTTACATTGCCATTATGTAAGTTAACTTATGCTCATATGGTCAACTTATGTGTGTGGGTGTGTGTGTATATATATATATATATATATATATATATATAGTCCATTAATTGTTAATATATGAAGAGCTGCTGTATTGAGTCCTGAGTGCTGCAGGAGTGATATAATGATGCCATTTGTTGTTTGTCATGACGTCACTGGAAGGCTGTCAGATACATAACCACTGGATTGATCAATATTTTTTTTTAGTTTGAAAAATGTCTGAGCTTTATTATGTTTTATTTGTATAAAGGAAACAATGTAGTTAGAGTTTAAACCATGTTAAGTCTACATTAGTATAGGCATTAATTAAAATAATGATTAATATTAAGTTATATCTTCTGTTCTTGAAGGTTTGGTAGGTGTCAATGCGCAGAAGAAGCTCATTTCAAATGCATCGAGTCACATGAGTGCCAGGAATCTGATTCAGCTCTGCAGGAAGAATCAAGCAGAATGGTTCACATTCCAGCATCTCTGCTTTCTGAAGAGACAGGTAGGCTATAAAGTGCTGCCTTTATGTACGCATAATTATAAATACGCTGAGGATCAAATATTATATATTTATAGATATTTAAGAATATTATCTCATTCGTTTTTAAATCTGCTTTTCCATAAATATTATCACAGGAGATCTTTTATTTATTTTTTGTAATATTACTTTCCTTTTTAATTATTGCAAATCAAATCCGAGATATGCAAATCATGTTTCAACAGAATTAAATGGTGAAATTGAGATCCATCAAATTTGTGTATTTAAGTTTTTTTTATATATATATATAGAAATTGTGTATTTATCTATTTTTCCCTTTTCCCACAGTATGTGAAGAGCATCGGAGGTGTCTGCCAGAGAGCGAGACCCAAGCAGGAGTCTGTCACCTCTGCACTGGAGGATCGAGATGATTCATTGGTCAGACAGGTTCAGCAGATCCCAGATTTGAAGCTTGAGCCAGGTACTGTGATGCCGCCATGTGACTCGAAGAACATCCAGGATGAACCAGAGGCGACCAGAGCAGCCCGCTTGGAGGCTCGCCAGTGGAAGGAGTCGAGGGTTGAATACAGTGATTTACCAGGGATTTACGCACGACTCTCCAAACTTAAATTAACAGGTATAATATGTTTTTATCTTTTGTATTTATGATAAATTGTATGTAGGGCTGTGTAATTAACTGAACACTCACACGGTTTGTGAAATTGCGTCTTGGAGAAAGTTTTAAAATTATTGATTTGATTTTATAATCTGTGTGGATTAACCTGCGGGAATTAATAAATAACTTATTGAAGTATTGTCTGTTATATTATGTATTTTAATAGTTAAAAGTACAATAAATGTTCAAATTTCAATTTAAGAATTGTGTAAAGGTGTCTTTTAATAAATGCAACACGTTCCCAAAGTCGTGTGAAACAATCATGTTACATAATTGTTTTTTCAATACTGATTCAATTTCAATCGATTTCAATACTGACCAAAATAATCGTGATTATGATTTTTCCTAATTCTATGCCATATTGCAATGTAAGATACATACTGTTAGTTGAACACATGACTTTTGCAGTGATCAAAGTCAAACTTCTGATCTTGAATTTCATGGAAATGTCAACATGTGATAACTAATCTCAATAAAAGAAGTCAGCTCTGACTTGCCTAATGATCATTATTTTTATTTATTTTTTAATGTTTAATTGCTTTCCTATAGTTAATCATATAATCAGTTAAAAAAATAGTCTTAGCCCATGAAGTACTTTGACAGTTTTCATCCTTTTGAAAGTTCTCATTTTTTTTAAATGATAATATTATGTAAGTGATAAGAATTCCACTTATATCCTCTGAATATTTTTTTTGTTGTTTTTTTTTGTAATAACTCAAGTAACCATTTCAACTAAATCTTGTAACCTCACTCCTCACTTGTAACCCACAGCTCTTGTGGTCACTACGGCAGCTGCTGGCTTTGCTATGGCTCCAGTGCCCTTTGACCCTGTCACTTTTTTGATGGCTTCGGTCGGAACAGGTCTCTCTTCCTGTACAGCCAATTCCATCAATCAGGTCAGTCACCTCATGCAATTTCATGAAATAGCTGCACACTCAGCAGATTGTGACTAAACCAAACACAACAATAAGGTTCATTAGTTAACATTAGTAAATGCATTAACTAACATGAACGAACTAACGATGAGCAATGCATTATTACAGTGTTTATTAATCTTTGTTAATGTTAGTTAATACAAATACAGCTGTTCATTGTGCGTTCATGTTAGTTCACAGTCCATTAACTAATGTTAACTAATACAACCGTTTGATTTTAATAACGTATTAGTAAATGTTGGAATTAATATAAACTAAGATTAATAAATGCTGAAGAAGTATTGTTCACATATTGTACATGTTACCTAATGTAGTTAACTAATGTTAACTAATGAACCTTATTGTAAAGTGTTACCGAGAATTTGTAGGTAAAATCAGCTTAGTTTTGCTGAAAATAATTTTACAGTGCATTCTATTGCATTTATCGGTCCTAAAAGTGGAAAATGAGTTTATTATTATTAATTATTGCTGTTCAGTTTTCATGAGATTCACTCAGTTGCAAAGTGTACTGACAGCTTTGTAAGTGGATCAGTCATTTTTCTGAAATCAACATACAGACTTGAATTGGACTGCGTACTGTGAAGATTTGTTTCTCTGTACTCTAGATGCGCTACTAGTAGTGGCCTTTACATTCACAGTAACATAAATATACTTGCATTACTTGTGGCTTTTTTATTGGTTTATTATGATTGCAAAAGTAAATGTGACATCTAAAAATGTGATGGCCGGAGTTTGGCTAGATGTGATAATGCAGACCACATAAATCTTGTTGTAGATGGTTAGAAATGAATTAGCTGCTAGTTTTGGTACATAACCTCAACTCTGCACAAGCATTCCAGCCAGAATAATTGCCTACTTGGCGGTCTGTTGATTTTGCTATTGTTTTGCTTGTGTACAGCTAGATGGATGAAGTCTCATTGCAGCGTTGGCTTGACTTCAGGGAGTCCCGCAATGCCCAGCAGAGTTTCATTGTGTGTTACACAAACACGGGACACAAACAGTCGATATGGGCTCTCACAGTGCACTTTGTCATTCGTTTAGAGAGAGAGAGAGAGAAAAGAAATCAGTGCTTAAGTGAGCCAATTGTAGAGTCTTTTGCATTCCATTCCTGCTGTGTATCTAAAAAAAAATACATTAGGCAAGATTAGCTGTGTTGCTCTGATGTTTTTCAGATGAAAGCATTTGCAGAGTTAGAATGAAAAGAAACAGAGAGCGAGAGACGCACACTGTATATGCTCTGGTTTGCTCCATCCGTAATCAGCTTTCTGCTCATAGTAAGGCTCTTTATGGCTCAAGAGTAGGGCTGTGTATCGCAGAGAATCTGGCGACATGATATGTATCAATACAGGGATTACAATATATTGCGATTATTGCAGGTGATATTTCGCTATATTAATAGTTTTTTTTCTTCAGGAAGAGGATCTAATTTTAGATTATCTAATAAATATGCATAAAAACTGAGCAAAACAGTGATATTTAAGGAAAGAGAATATATATATATATATATACTTGTATCCTGCTTTTAAGGTTCTATTTTTTATTTCTCAAGTATTTAATAACAGAAAATGTCAGAAAATTTAATAACAAATTTTACCACTCCATTAATGCATGATGCGTTTTTTTTATATATTTATTACTGAAAACCTGCTAGCTATAAAGCATCTACTTCTATTGTATAAAGTCAAACATAGTATTGCGATATTCAAGTGTATAGATATTTTTTTACACACCTACTCGAGTATTAGTGAAATTAAAGGCTGTTACGTCAACCCCTTTCAACACCTGCACCTCTCTGACCAAAACACAGGTGTGGCCTGTAATTTGTAGAACGTCAGGATCACACCACTGACTCGACCTGTTTTTAACAGGAATATCCTACACTTGGCCTTTTTTACTCTTTAGTGGCAACATCTCTGCAGTGTGTTTACTCATTACTGCATTGCTAGATTAGCTTGACCTCATTGTGAGGTCATACCTGTGGACTAGATGGTGCAGAAATGAACAAGCAAATATTTGCTCCTCAGGTTGAACGTGAATCAACCATTGGGTTTCTTCAAGACCAGTTGTATAATGACTGATTGCTAACCTTTTTCTGTGATCTGTCTACATCGCATAGGTGTGTGTTTGGTTGACAATGTTTCTGACTAGATTATGCGCTTCTACCTGATCAGTCTCAAAAGGGTTGGTAAGATAAAAAACAAAAAAAAAATCAATCAAAAGTTTTCTGAAAGAAGATTTCAGAAAGATTTTTATCAAACATTAAAAACTGTATTAAAAATACATTTTTTACAACTATATAAAAATATTTTAAAATATATTTTATTCATGTGAAGTCATCTAATCATTCTGATATTCAGATTTAGCTCGCTTTTGTTAGTATTGTTAGAAACTTCATATTTTTTGTGGAAGAACATTGTTTTAGGAATATTTAAAAATGTTTGTGCAGATTTTTTTTTGTTATAATGTAAAAGTCTATGCTTTCACTTTTGATCAAATTAACTTATCTTTGCTGAATAAAATATTCTTTAAAAAAAGACTGACGACAAACGTTTGACCTTTTAAAAAACTATATTTTGCATAAAGAAAATAAAGCCTATTTAAATAAGAACTTTACTACATTCTTTTTTATTATGTTTGACAGAATTCTAATAATCATTAATTTTCAAGTTTTAATAGTTCATTGATTAAAGGATGTAAGAACCCTGCTGATTAGCAAGCTGATTGGCAAACTGCACATTTTAATTGATGCTAAATGAATAATTCATAAATAAGTAAAAAAAAAAAAAAAAAAAAAAAACCTGGGGGGAAAACTTGGATAGGCATAAAAGGTTTAAAGAAATCTCACAGCAAAGAAGCCAATTCATTCTCCAAGTCATTTTTGATGTTATAAAGATGGGGAAAAGGTTGATTAGGTATAATTGACGTTTTTGAGCAGGGGTCACCTGGTCTTTAAGCGTGTTTAACAATGAAACTGGTACAAGGTCCAAGAGCCTGATGTAATGGGCGAATATGGCACGACTGAAGGCGGACAGATGGGCGCTCTGTAAATTTGTTGCGTTTGATGTGCCGTCTTTGAAGTTCTAATTGAGCAGGAACAGTGAGGAGGGTTGAAGTACTTAGAACAGGCCCATCAATCAAGTGTGCTTTTATTTGCCAAAAAGCAAGTTGGAACACAGGTATCAGATGTTAGTTTTATAATTTAAGTGGAACGTGGGTATTTCTGATGCATATGTTGGTTTGCATGGGTCTTTGCTGTCTAGATGGCCTTGTGTTTCTGAAGGTTCAGTCTGAGACTAATATGCTTTCTGGGGCTTCAGAGGACATTTAATCCATAGGATGTGGAGCAGGCTTTCTTGTGGCAAGTGGTTGGCATCTGCACGGAGTCTTCACTCCACACGTTACAGTATGGAAAGAGACCGTTTGGCCCCTCTGTCTCGCCTCCTACTCAAAGCCGTCTTTGGTTTTGCATCCACTGATGTGTACATGCATAGAATTTACTCTGCCATCATAGTAGCCTGTAAAGGTGGGCGGTCTGACCCAAATCGTATATCACTTCATCACATTAATATTATAATAAACTGTAATTATATTGTAATAACACAGAACAAAGTTAAAAATGAAAGATTCAAAACCGTACTTCTAAAATTTAGACTGAATTCTGATTTTTTTTCAAAAAGGGCCCCTAAAATAGACTAAGTCATTTGAATTCTGTGTTGATACAATGTTGCAGGTTTTGTTTGCCAACTGTACACAAACAAGCTCCACTTTCTATTGTACATAATAACATAATAACACATTGTCTTTACTTTGATGATGTCTTTCACTTTTGATCTCGCTTTGTATTTTCACATTACACCACATTTCTTTGTTACCTTTGCATATAATTTATGTATAAATTAAAGCAGTCTAGTTTAGCAACACCTTTACTAGCTGACACATTAATTGGGTTATACTACCCAAAATGTTGTAAATTCTGTAAATCAGACCCTGCGGAAAATGGCACTAGTGACATTAGGTTTTAATCCCAGAGAAAACACTGGTAAAATGTCATAATGCAGAGTGTATTGTTTCATTTGTAAGTGTGGATTAAATAGCAAAGTTTTGGATGTAAATTACTCTGGCACCTGATGGCTGATTTGTTTATGCTGTTCAAACACAGTGAAACAGAATAAGTGATATAGTATACAGTCTGTCTCTTTGTTCCTGAAGCCTCAAGCACTTTTTAAAGTCTTAGAGTGACGCGATTGTCATCATATCTACTAGCAGCTTGTACAAAGACAAATTCCTGGTGTGTATACCCTATACCGTTTTGCATTACACTTGGCTAATGAAAGTCATTCTGATATGACTGCATTTATTTAAGGTGCCGTCTATGCGATGTACGCTGTTCTTTCTCATTGGATTTTTGAAGATGAGCTCTTTTTTTGGTGTTGTTTCATAGTAAAACCAAACAACTGCTGGAACACCACAAATCATGTGCCATGTGGTCATTGTAGGAACTCTCTGATCTTATTCTCCTAGTCCTGACTCATCTTGTGTAATGTGACAAGTCTTGGGCACACCCATACCTGGCGGTAACTGATCTCCACTCTTAACTCATCCTTTTGGTTTTTATAACTCCAGAGAGGAAAATAAAAGAAGAATGACGTCCTTAGATGTGGTGCCAGTTTTTTTTTCCCCATTATAAAACATCCCTGCCACCCCCATGCGGTTTGCTGTGATCAAAGATGATTCTTTTCAAGCTTGTAGAGTACACTAAACATACGACAAACAAATCAAAGTTAAGGTGTATCCCGACCGTTAAGCTCTGCTGTCTGTGGATTGAACATCAAACACCAAGCAGCTGATTTTTGGTATCTCAGGAGGAGCCAGTCGAGTTCGTCTCTGTTTGTGTTTACTTGTGGCCATGATGAGATTTACTTTGAGACGAGAAAGACAGGCCTGGGAATCGGTGGATGTAG